TGGAAGTCGGCAGTTGTTATTTTTGATCAACAAATAACCCCCTCCCCTCTCCCCCTTCCTCCTTCCTTTCCTTTTCCCCCCCCGCCTGCGGTTCTTAGAGTGTATGTGTGTGTGTGTGTGCGGGGGGGGGGCGGAACCTTATGTGTGTGGGGGGTTGGGGAGAGGGCGGGGTATTAACCCCGCCCCCACAGATAACCAACCCAGTCTACGGCCATGAGCTTCGCCATGTAAACCAGATTTCGGCGGGGTTGGGGGCGTCGGTGGGGTCGGTCGGTGCATGGGGCATCTGCACCCGGCATCTAACAGTAACCGGGGGGGCTGCTGTCGCTTCCCCCATGACCCGCTTTCCTCGTCCATACATACACCTGGTCATGCTAGTCTATTTGGCACCGAGACACGCGCACACACACCCAGAATGCGTTTTTGCCGTTTTTTACGCCTTTGGTCTTAGCCGTACACTTCTGCTGTAGCTGATGGAGGGAGGGGGTATGTGGAATGCTGCCATGTGAGTACGCACGCGCCCGAGGCCCAAGCCTGGACGTTGTAGAGCTTATTTTCCTACTGTTCCATACCTTCCCTTAGCGCTCCTCAACTCGCCTTCACATTTCTTTGGCTTTGCAGGTAACTTTAGACGCAACACCCTCCCTTGCGTCAGTAGCTCTTTGGGAAGAGGTTGATTCACATGCGGTCTGCGACTGTGCTCGGTCCTACCTTGGGCGTCAAATCGTAGATGTTGGCTACGCGAAGTCCCAAGATGCGTTGCCGCAGGCAGGCCACCTCAGCCGCCACATCAGCGCTGCTCATGCGCTGCTTCACCATTCTTTTCGGGCTTAGCAACCGCTTTGGCTGCTGCTTGGCGAATGATGTTACTGGATGCTGCCCCTAGCTCCCGCCGTAAAGCTGCTGAAGTAACTATAATGCCGTTGCTATTGCAACAGTTCAAAAATTGGGGGCCATCCTACATGAGACCGCTCCCCGAGCCGTCAAGTTGATACGGAAACACTCCTGTTCTTTTGCGCTGTAGTCTCTAGCTATATACCCAGGAAGTGCTTGCTATCATAATTTTTGCCGCCCTAGCTCGTATGGTTAAGTACAAGGACTCTGCAAGCCTAGACTCCAGTGCACGATGGACCGTGTTTTGAACTTTCGTTGATGACGGCTAGCTATGATGTCGATCTCAGCGGACTGGCTGCACGAGCAAAAGCATAAATTTGGACTAACCCGAGCATTTCTTTTGTACCGGCTGCCGGTTTAACTGGGTAAGTGATCTCTGGTTGCTCACTAGTACCGTAACTCCCAGTTGCGTAACGCATTTCAGGATTGGTGCCAATCCTAATTTTTCTGTATTGATCTGTGATGTTACAAGATTGAAAGCTCCTGAGGCCCAGACGAGCCAGGAGGCTCGGGGACCGCGAAACCAAGGAGAAATTGAACTCGAAGGTTTCGATTATTATGTGCCGTACAAAATATTGCGTAAATAATTTTGTGAGTTTGTTTAAGCGTTCTTATATGTGTTTTCCGCCCTTACGTCATCATCGAGATGGCGCAGCGGAAGCGTGCGGGGCTCATAACCCCGAGGTCCCAGGATCGAAACCTGGTCTCGATAAGTATGCTACTACTGGTGTGAATCACAGACAAAGAGGATCTCTGCCAGTTTTTGACTATTGAAGTTTGGGAAAATCCCTGAACGCGCTGTTTTGAAGGGTTCCGGTTTTTACAGCGGGGGGAAAGGCTAGTTACGCTTTCCCAGCACGCGCTCAAGCTGCTATAGAGAGCTATAGAGGGTTATGGCCAGGGAAAGTTACAGCTGCATGAATGCAGGCAACGTGGAGATGGGCCCAAGCGCTACGGAATACGTCGAGCATTCGCGTGAAACTTTTACTCCGTGCAAACATGCATGTATGCTCAGCCACGTTAAGGCTGATGGCCGACAATAGATGCTGAGGGTTTTCCCATGCACTACAAAAACATTTACCTCGCTCGTGAACTTCACAAACCTAGCACAGCTACAAGACTACAGATGAAAATCTACTCTGCTATAGCAAATCAAATTATGTACTTATTTTACCTGTTCATTCCCGGGGCTTGGGATTGGTCATTCCGTAGCTCAGCGTAGCTATTTTTGAGCTATCACGTCCAAGGAAGACCAGGGAACTGCAGGGGATGATGTTTGACTCACGCAATCCGTGACAGCCCAGCCAGTAAAGAATCAATCCCTTGATTCTTGCCTTTAAAGCTTTCTCAATCTAGTTGGGTGACTGCAGGACGTTGCTCATATGCCCGTCGTCCGATGAGGAGTGACGGCGATGACCCACGCAGGGCCCGTCTGGTGACCGCGATCCAACTTCCTCTCGATAGTCGCCGGAACAAGATGGCTGCCCATAAGAAGCCTGGCTGCTTCATACTGAAAGTAGCAGTTGCTTTTCCAGCACTATACAGCGTCGTGAAGCTCGTTGAGGTGAGAGGCGCAAGCTGCGGCAGGTATTCTGGGGCGGGCTTTCTACAGGCAAGACCAGGAACAGGACTATACTCTTGCTTCCGCTGCTGGTCTGAGTTGTCTTTTCATTATTACTGTGAAGACGCATGATTTTGTGATGCGCCATGAATCGTAATGCCTGCCAACCGCAGTTCGCAGCTCCTCCTGCTTCTGTTGCTCAATCTAAAAATCGTTCTCCTTCCCTCCCGGCGCTGTGCGCTGGCTGCATGTTGCGATGTTAGCGAACCGCCCTTCTTCCCGCTCTGGGTGCAGAGAGTTTTGCACATTCGTTCACCTGACTCCTCCTCCAGATTAAGGACTACCTAAAAGGACTGGTGCCGCGGAAGCCTCAGCCACCACCAAAGCCGCAACAACTTCAACAAGAGCAACAACTTCTTTTCATTTGAGGCATGGACACCATCAAGGAGACTGTTCAGAAGGTGCGTGTATATATGTACGTGCGCCATCTGACCTGGGGATAAAGTTATGAAGTTTGGTTTTTCCCATTTTATTTCATACAGAACTAACAAAGCGAGCCAAACAGCGCGACGCCTCGTTTACATGTTTCGTTCTGTCTCTCTCTCTCGAGTGCTTCTTGAAGGTCCAGCTAGGAGACCTGAACACTACCGGACACCACTTTCGACCACCACCACCTGACGCCTCTCCTCTTCTCCTCAAGAGTCTTATGTGATTAATACGAATACCACCTTTTGGGCCTTCCTTTCTCTCTGCCATCACCACATCGACGAGCCTGTCTCTCAAGCATATCCAGCTGCCTGCCTGCCCTCTCACCACCCTCCTGCCTTCCCGGCCCCCCCACCCCCCCTTACCTCCCACCCACCCACCCCCCGACCCCCGCCAGGCCGGCCACCGCATGGAGGAGGCCATGACAAGTGCCACCCACACGGCGCAGGTGGGAGTGCTGTTGACTGCAGGGACGAGGTAGTAGCGGGGCTAGGGTAGCGGCCGCATGAAAACATGTATGCACTTGACGATGATTGATAAGCATGCATGCCAAGGCGCATCTGGCTATGCGCACGAAGTAGGGCACCAGCTGGTGCGAGGGAATACAACCTGAGAGGACTGCCTCGCACTACCCCTAACAGCGCCTCACCTCGCCTCGCACCTCTTCACGCCGCTTTAGCATCTCTGGTGTGCTGTTTCTATCAGCACCTGCTGCTGCTGCTGCTGCTGCTGCCCCCCTGATTCCTCGTTCGCTCGCACCGTGTGGGTTTTTACTCATGTCTGCATGTCCTCCGCCCAACAGGAGATGGGCGACAAGATAAAGGAGGGTACGATGGGCACCAAGCACGATGCGGACTCGGCGGTAAGTGTTTTGATTTTTCTGTTCTGTAAGAAGCCATTCACAAGGGCCCTCCAGAGCTGACGTTGGTTGAGAGGAGGGGAGGTTCAGCTGTGCTTGGCAGTCATGCGATGGCGGTACCACCAGAGACATACTTGCTGAGATCATACGGCGTGTGTACCCGTGTATGTGATATTTATAAAATAGAAAACCTTATATGAATTCATTTTCACGGCGAGTTTGTGTATGTGCAGGCCACTCGGGCTGCGGACGCTGCTCAGGAGAACATCCGCGATGTGGGTCGGCCTGTGTGTGGTGTGTGTGTGTGGAGGGGAGTGGGGAATGGCTGGGTGGGGTCAAGCTCCGGAAGGAGCACTTACGGCCTCGCTTGTCAATGCAATTAGAACTTTATACATTTACGGCCGTCGGTCCGTACGGTCGTCATTTAAGCTTTGCGAAAACTAGTTGAGCAGGGGGTCTTCCCTTTTCTGTCTCTTTAAAGTGGTACCGTGCACTGCTATGTCGTACGGTACCAAAGACCGATTCAACCGGGCGCTTCATGAATGGAGCCACTCGCATTCGTGCTGCTTCATTCGATATCACACACTGATATGACACACGGCCGTACACGTCGTACATGCTGTACAGGCTGGCCATCGTGCGGACGAGGCGGCGGAGAAGGCCAAGCACGGCGTGGGTATTCATTCGTGATGACGACAACGGCAACAACGAAGTTTCCTGTCGGAGAAGGGGGTCGCTGCGAAACCAGGCTCTGCGGGTGTTGGGATTCAAGTCTTGGGTGAGCCTGGTGGAGGACTGGGGGGGGAACTGTCGTGTCTGTGGCGCTGCTACTCGGGAGGACAGCGCTGGATGGCGGAGCGACGTAGCTGTCGTGTGTGTGCGTGTGCGCGGTGCGGTGTGTATCCTGTCTTTATTCTTCTGACTCCGGTGTTGCTGGATTGCGGTGTTGATGGTGCTGAAACGTTGAGACGGGAGTTGGGCCACTGGAATATGGACAGCTGGCTGCGCCGATGATGATGATTTGGTGGCGGTGTGTGTTGCTGGTACAGAAACAGCGTACTGTTGTAAAAGAAATCACCGATGAACGGATCTCACAATTCGCGAGTGAAGGAAGAGGAAGTGTACCAGACGGAAGGGCGGCACTGTCGTGTACTCGGAAAAATGCAAAACGTACAAAGAAGAGTATGGGAAGTATAGCCTGATTAAGCCACATATTTCGAGCCTGATTACTGCAATAGTATTACGTTGTTGGGCTTTGAAGGCAAAACAGATCAGGAAGTGGCAAGTACCACGTCCCCAGGGAGCAGCGGTTTTGCCGCTGTTGTGGCACCAATAACCCAGTCAGTCGAGAATGTGAAACACGTGTATTATTGAAATGGCCAGAAACTAAAATGATAGTCGTGCGGAAGAGGGATTCGATCGTCAACAGAGCATATTGGGGGCCATGAAATGGGAGCCAGCACGTGTGGCGAGCATGTGTGGTCTCACCACAGCTCAGTTATGTCTTTCGGACGCTAGTCTGGACTAGTAGTGCGGTGTTTGCTTTTCTCCGTGGCTTTTAGGCGTTCAGGTCTTGCCGTTGGGGCTTCGGCCCATATGGGTAGTTTTACAGGTATGGGGTCACGCACCCCCCCCAACCATGTAACACACACATACACACATATGCATCACATGCAAAACACTGATGTGCAGGTAATGTCAACAAAGGTGTGCTGACCGAAAATGGTTTATGGTAAAATGAGTATATATTTCACGCTGTCCACCTGTTTGTCAATCGGATACCAATGATACTTCAAAGCATACGCACGAGATTGATCATGTGACCCTGGTGATCGTGTGAAGTGCTCTGGTCGTAGAAAATCCTGCTTGGAATATGCGGCTTTTTTGTTGACGGAGTCTCTAAGTCTGGTTCTGTGCGACTGTCATACAACCGTATGTGAATGGCGAGCATAACTTGCTTCAACTCCTTCGTTACAGGAGCATTCTGCTTTTCACTCGGTAAAGCTTCAGCTCGTGGCTGACAGTTCCCCGCCCACCTTCCCCCCTCGGTCTTGCGGTTGTCCTTCCCCTCTCCACCCCCGCTTTTCCTTCTCCACGGGTCGGTCCCAGACACCTCCACGCCGGGCTCGACCAGCGGCGGACCGGCGGCAGATGCTCGCTGAGGGGTGGCTGGAAAGCAGGCGGGTCGGGAGGTTGAGGGTTGAAGACGGATTTGGTTGTGGTTGGGTCTTTTAGCCGCTAGCAGTGCGGCCATTAGAGCTCCGGAGGGGTGGTGCTCTGTCGCTGGCGGGCTCAGTCAGTTTCTTTGCTAGCGTTTCAGAAGTTAGGGTCGCCGTCGCGTGAGTTTGTTCAGGTTTGTTCAGGTAGTCATTGGGCGTTCGTTGTTTCGCGTTGCGTGTCGTTCTGTCGCGCGCGTGTTGCCACGTAGGGAGGTGCTGGTGGGCTGCACAATGGAGGTGTGGCGGCCGGTGGGCTGCAGTCGCACGGCCGTGGTTGGCTGGGGTTGTGTTCTGCTGCAGTGTAAGGGCCCTTGGCAGCTGGTCTCCCAGTTTCTACCATTCAGCAAGCACGTCGAGAGTCGGCAGAGCCACGAGAATACGGTCAAGGGAGACAGGAGCACAGAAACGTGTAACAGCTGCACACAGCCTTGACTCACCCAAGGTAACATAGACACCCATACCCTGAACAAAAGTATTTCCCAGAGATATTTTGTAGTGCGATTTGCCGCATTTGCGAGATACTTCCGTGAACCACAGTCTATTACATGGCCGTACGCACATTGCATTCCGAAAGCGTCCACGTCGTATGACTGAACAGCACAACTGTTCAGCAGACATAATCACGATTCCCTCGGTAGAGCATTTAGAGCCAGGCTGTCCATATTGTTAGGTCGCATCTCACAACCGTAAATCACGCCATTTTAATCAGACGTGGAATTTCATTTCCTACGTCCCTTGCTGTTTGATAACTAGGCACTTGAATATCGACATCTTCGCCGTACATCGTCAGCCTCCAGAATTTCATCACACTAAGTACGTTCGCTCAGGGCAAGTTCATGCATATGCGACAAGCCACATGATGTAGACAAGACACCCACAGTGTGTGCTACTAGGGAAAGCGTCCAGCTGTCCGAGGAATGGACAGCCAGCCCTGCAAAAATCACCAGATCACAACCACCATCGCCAACCGACATACGACATGACAATGGCGAATTGTAGAGTCTGGCTCGTGGCTCGACTAATAAATGAACAAAATTCGACCGTGAACGAAGTCGACAGCTAGGCGTACGTCTAGAAACGCAGGAGGAACTATCTGCATATAGCAGAGCATTCGCTGGTCTTCAAACACATGCCACATTTCCCAAATGAATCACCTGTCAAGTAAAAATAAAAAAAAGCCATGTCGTGCAAGGAACTGCGATCCGCCCGGAACACATCATCGTCCTGCCATGCACAACAGGTAAACCCAACACAAGACATCAAAAAGTAACTTTTATTCCGTTCGACTAAACGCGAAGTGCTCCGTTGAAAACCAGCTCAGCCGGACCCGTCATGTAGATATGGTTGTCCTCGGTATTCCACTCAATTTGAAGGGGCCCCCCGGGCAGGTCCACTCGGCACGTCTTCTCCCGATCCACTCGGCCTTCCAAGATACCTGTAGGGGCGGAGGACACGGACGGACAACGGCATGCAGGCCAGGAAGGAGAAACCGTGGCTATGAAAAATCGCTAAAATGACATCAAGTTGGGTTAAGATGTGATCGCACCAAATGCCATCCTCCCTTTGGCAAGGGGGAGCGAGAGCGTTCATGGAAGACAGCAAGAACACTGTACGGATCCACAACAGCATGCGGGAGGAAAAATGAATTTCAAAGAAAAAAGAAAGAAATCCCATCATGATTCCAACGAACGACAGATTTTCTCACCTGCCACAACGAGAGCGCAGGCACCCGTGCCGCAAGCCAGCGTTCGTCCGGCGCCGCGCTCCCAGACCACCATGCGAACATGGGATCGGTTGACCACCTCCACAAACTCGGTGTTTGTCCGGGCTGGAAACACAGCGTTGCGCTCAAACTTGGGACCCAAAACCGCCAAGTCCTTTTCAAGGTCGTCAATCTGCATGCAGTACGGAACCAGTATACGGATTAAAACAAAATTGCTAGTTTCGATCACGAGATAGGAGGTAGCTAACGCCGTGCTCGGTAATGAACCTCATCCCCATAAAGGAGATTTATTAATTAAATGCCTTCTCCATTGAAGTGCAATAACTGCGGCTTGCGAATGACTGGCGTAGTTGAGCAGAAAGGCTTTGTGTGGTAGGGAATACACGTGCAATGGGAGAAAACACAACGGTGAGAGCACAGACCCGAAATGCCATTTTGGACAGCGGGATTGTGAAAATCTGGAAGCCCCCTTCCCGGATGAGGAACAGAAAGCCAACAAGAAGCAATTCGGAATACAACAATTGTGAGTACACGAGTACAACGATCAACATACATTTTGAATGTATACCAAAAAAAGACTCGTCAATCGTCCGGATTGAGTCGGCACTAGTGCACATGGAAGATCAAGGTGTAACATGCATTTCGCAAACTTCTGAAAGGAGTATCATGAATAGGTCGTTATGTGGCGGTCGAATTTCCCTCTGCGAAATCCTCTGCCAAGCGAGACGCAACGACTGTCAGTGTACGAATACAATAGTCAACAGAATAGTTCTGATTATTGCAATATTACGACATCACTCAGTCCGTGCGTTGCAGCCCAATGCTTGGCAGGTAACATTATATTGCGACAAGAGTGCGCGTCTGTGCTGCGATGATGACCCCTAGGGGCCAGAGGGAAGCAGACACACAACCATTGATGATGTGCCACATAGTGTAATAAATGCACCGCTCATGAAATTTGCATGGATATGTATGTAACGAACGAACACTAGCTACACGGTATGCGTATGAACACACGGGTGCATCCACAGGCGGCCGCTGTCAGACAGTACGAATACAGATGGTTTAGCTACACAAATGATTCAGATTTTGCCCTATCTTTTTTGCATCATCCAGCGGTCCGCCATGCACCAATTTTATGAGATTCTGCTGTTCAGCCTTAATACTCGTTGTTGTAGTTATGCTCTATAAAGGCCATGTACAGTCCCCCTCGGCAATAGGGGAGACTAGCAAGTCGGATGCTAACTGCCAAAATCCAAAATCATTCCCAGGGCGAACCACTTAAGATGTTGTGCTGTTGCGCCAGGCAAACATGGCTGCTGCACCCACCTTGATCGTGTCACCGTCGCAGCTGTAGATGACCGCATGCGGGTTGCCCATGCTGACGCATGAAACTTTGTAAGTTTTCCCGTCAACTATTAAATCTTGTTGCACAACTGTGCTGCCCTGGGTTGGCGCCAGCGTCGTGGGGACCTTGGCACCCTCTAGGATAGGCTCCCCCATGTCTACACGGACTTGGCCATCGGCAAGGAGCTCCGGCTGAATAAGTCCTGAACGAATATAACGATGGACATTGATTCAATAAGGATGGTGGACAAATCGCTTGACAGGAAAAGCAAAGAAGAAACATCACGCACCGCACGACGCAAAATCAGGATAACTAAAACTTATAGCCTTACCCGCAAGCGTATGAATCTTGTATTTGCGTGGCGCCGCCTTGTCGACGTCCGCAACAAACTTGGCAAGACACCTGATGCCATTGCCGCACATCTCCGGCTCAGAACCATCCGAGTTGAAGATACGCATGGTAAGGTCCGTATCACCCACAGGTGGGAGAGCAAAGATCACCTGTGGAGTTCATAGGCTTGAGATATGTGACGCCGCCTTGCCCTAGCCGACTGCCAGGCTTCGGCGCAGGCTCACCCCGTCGCCACCGACACCAAAGTTGCGGTCACATATCTTAACAGCTTGCTCTGGAGTGACCACTGGATTACTGCTGTGCCGGTTGTCAATCTGCACGAAGTACAAGGGTGGCGGCGCAAAGTTGCAACCAAACAAGCGCAATCGTATATCTTTGAGTAAGGATCAGTGCTCACCAAGATGAAATCGTTCCCCAAGCCCTGATACTTGGAAAAACTCAATGGCGAAGCAGACGCCATAACACGGAATGACCCCCGTGAACCTTTGCCCACACTGCGGCCAAACGCCCTGCCCACATGGGCATGCTTGTTAAGCATTTTGTAGGACATTAGCTGCAGTATTGCAGTAGGAGAAAAGTAGTTTACCTTGGACTGCGACCGATTTTGTTTCAATCCGTGACCGTACGTATCGTACAAGAATTTCCTTTTCATTCAGCAAACTGTCTGTACCTTTCAACTCGCTGGCTACCTTCGCTTTGCATCCGGATTTGATGCTTGCTATGACCTAGGGATGTTTGTATGCCGTAGCCTTACGCCCCATCGGCAAAGTGCGATTTGTCCCAAGCTACAACACAATGTTTTAATTATAGGATTTGGACTATCTATAGAAGTGGAGCCTAAAATTGTTCATTAACTCAGCTCAGGCCTTTGGCCCCCCAACGGACCAGTCAGGCCTTGACTGGGGAACAAAAGGTCGAACCGCCCGATGGGCCCTGTGGATGAACAAAAGCGGGAGCTATGCAAGCAAGCCTACCTGCTCATCTGCAAGTACTGTGCGGCCGCGGGCAAGGAGGGAAAGGTGGGGCTCCGAGTGACTATCCGCGGTTATCATTCCTGTATCCATCCGCATATTCGATCAACCAGCTTTCAGCAGCTATTGAATCTCGCGGGGCCGACGTGGGGGGTTTGGCTCTTTCGCCACCCGGTGGAAGGGTGGTGCGAGTAAGACTGCACTTCTCGTAGTACGGCTGGCCAACCGCCCGGCAACCAAAATACCTGAAGAAACCGAGACCCACAACCAACCAGCTTCGTACAACTACCGTTCTGCGTTCCTATGACTTCGCCCTGTCGTGCCGTCGCGCGAACACCCCAACACGAGCAAAGCGCGCAATCCATCCCACACGGCTGAATGTTCACATGAAGGGCGACATCGGGGGGCGACTAACAGTCACTGCTGCTGCTGCTGCTACGGCTGCTGCAGCTGTTACTGGTTCTATTACTTCTTCTCTTCCACGGTATACATTCCTCCCGACCTAGTGCATCATCGCTCCAGCGGAAGCCGCACGCCAGCTTTAAATAAATCCCCTTTCGCCAATTTCCATTGCTGCTCGTTCATCTCATCATCTCTGCAAGAAAGGAAGTGTTGGTCTAAATAGATGATTTGTCAGGTTCCACTTCCGGACGAGCTGGGTATCGTCCCGTCGTACAGGGTGTAACAGTGGCGGCAGCAGTAGCAGTAGCAGCAGCTACTGCTGCGCGACGCTAGGGTTGCCGCCGCCTGGGGCCCTGTGTGAGTGAAACCACACCACAAATAGATGGGGAACTGCCCCCGGGTCTCCCCCCGCACACACAACCAACCACACAGCACATGGAGCTTGGGACGTGTGTCTCGCCGGTTTGGCGCCGCCTCCGCTTCCTCTCGTATCAGCACCGTCATCATCATCGCCGTTATCATCACCACCGTTATCATAATCACCGTCATCACCGTCATCATCATCCCGTCCCCCGTCTTTTCCCCTGCCCCTGCCCCAACTCGCGGCTTCGGGGTTAGTTACTTCTCACATACTCCGGGAGTGGGCATCCGTACATCCTGATTGGCTTTAGCTTCACTCGTTCATGTGATTCACGTCTTCCCACCCCCCACACCCCCACCCTACACACGAACCCATCTCCGTTCCCCAATATCACTCCGTCCCAATTCATTCTCCCTACCAACCAGCCGCGGCGGCCAGCCGTTGTTGTTGATTCTTACTTCACGCTTTGGCCCGTACACTCACCCGTACAGCCGTACGGCCATTCTCCAATCCGTAAACCACTCGGGTTTAGCCGACACAGCTATGTTATCATCGCAACCATCACACACAGCACTTGCAGACAAACAAACAGACAAACAAACAAATAGACAGACAGACAAACATCATGAATCTAGCGCCTGTTGGTCTCCGAGGCCATCGGCTGCTGGCGGAAGCATCGGGCCCAATTGATAGATTACTAATTTGAGGTTGGGTTCCTAAACCCTAGGACACTGCTTGCCCGGGGGACCAGGGCGCGATGACTAACTTTTTTTCATCCTTGGTTTGACAACTATGGGGAAAAAATTAAAATAATTAAAATAAAAGTTAATTATTATATCATATTTTATATAAGTCTTTGGTTCACAGATTAGGTGGTTACGTAAATACTTATCTATCTATCATCTATCTATCGGCATTTGCGCGCGTTCATCTTTTTATTGGTTTCCACGACACCCTAACCCCCGCCCCAAAACCCGCACCCTTCACTACGACCCCCAAACCCCTGATGTATCCCACCCCGCACCCCCCGTGCAACCCCCCACCCCAACCCCCCGGTGCAGGAGGCGTGTGACTTTCGCAACACGCTCCGCAAGCCCCATGCCCTGGACATAGACAAGGAGACCAACAAGCTGCTGGTCGCGGAGCTGACCAAGTTCAAGCAGCAGGGGGGCATCACGGCACTGCTGGCCTCGTCGGGGGGGGGGTAGGTGGGGCTGGGGGCTTTGTATGCATGTACGTATGTACGTATGGATGGATGGATGTGAATGTGTGTATGTATGTGAGTGCGCAAGAGAGGGTGTAAAGAGGTTGCGGGCGGTGTTTTGAGGTACAGGCACAGGCGACACCAGGTCCAGTCACCTTCAAAGGCCATGGACACGCATCAGTCCATCAGCCCAGCATCCAACCAGCCTCTGTGTATGTATGTCGTTACAGGGGGTTAAGCTTCACCAGCGGCCCCCTTTCCCGGGGCAGTCCCTGCTCTCCCCTGCGAGAGGGGCACCCTAATCCGTCACCCCATCCGACTTCAGAATGTATTCGTTGGGTTCAGCAACTCACCACCAGCATCCGACCAAATCTAGCGGATCAACGGCGCCTGTGTGTGTGTGTGTGTCTTGGGACACGAGGGCCTGCGAGGCGGCCCATCCCGCAGCTCCGGAGTAGACACCCAAAGGGGTTGTCTTCACCTTCCAAACACTCGCTCGCATTGTGGGGGCTAAACAAACCAATATCTGTGTCCTATGTATAAAAATGATCTTTTTTGTAGTTATTGATTATTTGGATATGATGTCTTAATTAGCTTGTCGTATGCGTTGTCGTACTATCGCCCCCGGAAGACCCAACTGCAAAACCCAAAGACAACCCCCGCCGAAATAGTAGTAACCTCCCTCTCATACACACACACACACGCGCGCGCACGCTCGGTCCTAACCCCCTTAACCCTCTATGCTAATGCCCTTCCCGCTCCCCCTCCCGTCGCTTTCCCTTCAACTCCCACCCCTCCTTCCCCTCCAACACTCCCCTACACTTGTCGCATTCGTCCCACACCACCCGGTGCTGCAATCATCAGAGCTGCTCAGGCGGCGCCGTCATCGTACGGCAGGGGGGGAGCTGCCGGAGGAGGGCCTTCTGCCTCCGCAGGGCCCCCGGCGGGTGGAGGGGGGGGAGGGGGTGTGAAGGCGGCTCGGAGCAAGGGCACGGGCGGTGGAGGGGCGTCAAGGGGGGCAGCGGCCTCGGGGCTCCCCCCCTTGGGGGCGGGGCCGGGGGAAGGGGGAGCAGCACGGAGCGCAGCGAAACCCAGCCGTGCCGCGGCTGCGGCCGCCAAGGGCTCTGCCAGCAAGGTACGGCAGGTCACGGTGGTGAATTGGGTTGGGTTGGGGGAAGATGACCCGTGGGTCGGTGAGTTGTGGGGAGGGACGCGGGAGGGCCGACCCGTGGGTCGGTGCACATTTCCAGTACTGTCAGTGACATAGGCTGCGAACAGGTGGGCCGGGAAAGAAGTGGAGCGGGGGACCGCCCGGGAGGAAGACCCTGGTTAGACAGGCAGGAGGGCTCGGGGGCAGGACGAATGGCACGAATAACCCGGGGAGGAGAGGGGAGAGGAGGGGGGAGGAGGAGGAGGAGAGGGGAGAGGAGGGG